AGCTTTTACAAGTTTGCACTATTTGACAAACAGAGGACACTCGGATGAACTTTTTTGTGTGATCATCTTACTGTGTTTTTCTTCTCCAGGAAAGAGCGTCTGATTTATGTTGGAATCAGTGTCGAGAACATCATCGCGCCCTCTGTGAGTACTTAGTGAGGTCATGGGGTCTTAAATAAAAACAGAAAAAACATTGACCTGCTGCTGATGTTTGTGAATGTAAGTGACGCTGAACTCTTTCCAGGTTGAGGTCGAGGAGGAAAAACCAGAGATCATTATCAAAGAGAAGAAAGAAACAAAGAAGAGTAAGAGCTGGGGTCGGAGGTCAACGAGGGCGAAGAAAACCATCAGCTACAGGTACGAGACATACTATTTTGCTGCATGTTCAGGCAACCAGTCCATATCAGTTGATGTTGATGACATCAGTGTTTGTAGCTAGTAGCCAATCACGGATAATATATAATTTCTGTAGAGCCGTAGTCGTCATAAGAAAATCTTGCCTACTCCACAAACAGTTGATGGCCTGGGTTTGTTGGATAAGCTCGATCTGCCACAGTGTGGGGAGTTACATCTGCCTGCCAGATGTTTTTGGGGGTTTTGTTTAGTTTAGTTTAGTTTTTTTACCCTAAATAAATCATAAAAAGATTACCTATTATTTCCAGTATCTGAAAGATTAAAAAAATGTAAAAGGTTTTGTTTACTGAAAACAGACCCTGGTCGACATGGCAGGTGCTGAATGTGCATCTGTGTAAGATAAATGTTATCACATCTCTTTTGCTGTGAGCCATTTAAGGTGTTTTCGCACCTATAGTTGGTTTACTCTGGCCCAAATCAGTTTGTAAACTTCTAGCTTTTTCCTTTGATTTGGTTTGTTTTCGCACAGAGAAAATTCTACGTTAATGTTCAGTCTGCTTATTGGCCAGGAGTGTCTGGGCCGGACCAACAAAAGTAAACAGGAACAGGAAGAAGGTGCTGTGTTCTGGGATACGCGAGAAAACAGAGAATTTAGGTTCATTTCAAAGCTCGTTGCTAGCCTGTAAAGACCTTTGCAGCTCTGTAGTAGTTTTTATTTTTCTTTTCTTTTCTTTTTTTTTCTCAACTCAAACTTGTAATGTACACCTAGTCGCACCTAGTAGTTGGTTCGGATCGCAGTCGGATCAGGTTTGCACCATAAACAATTAGAGATGGACCGATCCGATATTACGTATCGGTCCGATACTGACGTAAATTACTGGATCGGATATCGGAGAGAAATAAAAAATGTAATCCGATCCATTAAATATCAAAAAAGCACCTCACAAAACTTGAAACATGGCGTAACTCGGCTCATAACCGTAGCACGTCGGAGCAATACCTGAGTGCGATTGACAAACCACAGTTTGATTTAAACGGACTAAACGCTGCAGGTGTGGAAACACCCTTTGAGTCAGTCGGCAGTTGGACAGGTGATTGTGTTATTATTGGCAGAGACGCATTTAAATTCTCCAGGCAGCAAAAAATATTCTTGTCTGTGTTGATGTAAACTTTGCAGATTTGATGAGTTTGACGAGGCCATCGAGGAGGCTATCGAAGAAGACATCAAAGAAGCAGAGGGTGGAGGTAGGAGGAGAAGAAACTGTACTGTGTACTTTGCTGAAAATATTTCTGGCTCTGAAGATCAACCCAAAATCTGAAGCTCCTTTAACATGTTGTATCCGTCTTGTTTGTAATGCAGAAGAATGTAGCAACTTGTCATATTTACACATGAAGCGGTTCAAATGTGAAAGAGATGTGAAGTTTTTAATATAACTGTGAGGTGTTTTTGCAGGAGCGGGTCGGGGTAAAGATATGGCCAACATCACAGGGCACAGAGGGAAGGATATTTCTACCATCCTACAAGCTGAGGAGGGCAAGGAGAACGGCCAGCCGCCGCGACCCAGCGCCAGCCAGCGCAGGAAAAAACGCCGGCGACTCAACGACCTGGACAGCGACAGCACCGTGGACGAGGAGGAGAGCGAGGAAGAGTTTCGCCTCAGTGAAAGGTACGGTTTGACTTTTGGTTTCCAATCTCATAAATCTGTCAGTTTTGTTCACCAGACGCTGAACTCTCTCTGCGTTCGCTTGTTTGCTCGGATGCAGCTCAGAAGAAGAGTTTGTTGTGACGGACAACGACACGGAAGCTGAATCGGAGGCAGACTCCAACAACAGCGACTTTGGCAGCAACGGTAGCGGTAGGCATCGAAAGCCTTCGCGGAGCAGACTGCTGACATGCAGACGGAGCTCCAGAAAGCGGCGGCGACCGAGAGGGTACTCGGATGATGAGGAGGACGAGACGGATGAAGAGGACGATGAGGATGAAATAGGTATATCTGTTTTACGTTATACTCTTTTTACTTATTCTCTAAAACCTGAAATAAAGAGATGACTACAGGTTAAAAGGTGCAAGTTGTAGTTGAGTTGTCTGCCCCACAGTTTCCAGCATCCAACCAGAGCATCCTCGCTTATAACCAGAATTTCAGACCTTAGATCACTTCTGAAACGCTGCTATTTCAGTACTTAAACCCAGAAATTACTCGCAGAGACCGAACACAAATGTTTGAGGTTGGAGCCCCCGGTAAAACTATAAACAAGACTAATGATAAGCTCAACTAGTAACTAGTACACAAAACTGCAAAGAAAGTTAAGAGAAAAGACCAGTGCTGGTGCAGGAAAGAGACCCAGCATTAACCCTGCTCTTGCTGGTGAGACTCCTTAGGATGAACTACAGAAACAGAGCAGGTTAAAAAGGGAATGTGTAAAATTTGTTTCCAAGAATATTCCCGCTGCAGGTCATCCTCTGATTTTTAACCCCTTCTTTGTTGTTTTTTTGTGCGTTTCTGTGCAGTGACCGAAGGCTCCAGTGAGTACAGCGACAGTGATCTGGATATGAGCCGCCGGCGGTCGAGGCGAAGCCAGAAGAAGCAGGTTAACTACTGCGAGACGTCCGAGTCTGAAGGCTCTCAGGCCGAAACCAACCGGGCCAAAACGAAACCCAGACGTCAGCAGGAAAGCTCCGAGAGCGACGGTCAGTCAGAAACACTTGAGTGATTAATTACTCATCTAAATAGATTAATCAATCAGTTAAGTGTGGAGAGCAACTTTGGTTTCCACTCATTTATCTTAAAATATTTTGTGACTTACAGTTAGAGGTAAGAATAAAAATCACCTTTCAAACTCATTGGGTTTCTATTAATAACAAATCCTTTAAAACAAATACAAAAGTTTGGTGTCTTTCTAAAAAAGAACTTTTTCGTCCAGTTTTGATAATATTCAGCAGATTGCTCCCTCTGTACTCCCTCCTGTACCCATGACATCTCTTTGATCTCAAAATAGTTAAGACCAGAGTCACTACATAAATCACACCAGCTTAGAGACTCGTGACCATCCGGCACACCTGCCTTTCACGAGGGAAAACTTCTGTGTAATTGCTTTGGTTGCTTGCACATTTACTGTAAGTAGAGGTGATGGACTTACAAACGGAGCTGCTCTCTGAGCTGTAGTGAAACTCAAAAGTATGAACCAAATCATAAACTGAGAAAGTTGCATAACTTTTACTGCGAAGGCGAGTTTTTACTGGTGACCAGCAGTAGTACACCTCAGTCTCCTCGTAGCCACACCTATGGTATCAATTTAAGTCTTTTTCTTTTCTTTTTTTTTTAAGTTGACCTCTGACCTCTCTGAGATTTTAACTCATCCAAGATTTTTGGTAGTTTATTTTATTTTTTTAATAGTATCAATTTTAAACTCCTATGTGGCCTCATTGTTGATTTGGTGAATGCCCTTTTATGGGTGAGGTGTTTAAAAATTGCAGGCAACCCCAGCAATCTGCTAGAAGCCAAAGCAATCGCTGGAGCTGGTGCTTTTTTTTTTTTTTGGTGCAAAATAGTCTTTGCATCCAATTTCACCCAGCGAGATGGCAGACAACTGTCAAGCAATGAGCTCTTGATGTCATGTGAGGAACTTCAGTTTTAACCCTGACAAAGTGCGTTCACTTTCAGCACCATGGACAGCGACAGCAGAGAAGTGTTGGTTTAATGCCGTCTTTTAGAGATGAAGCTGATTCAGACTCTTCCTCAATTGATTTTAAATTCTGACTGTTTGACACACACACACACACACACACACACACACACACACACACACACAGTCTTATTTCATTATTTGCATCAGTTTTAAGTTGCTGAGTTTTAACTGATAAAAACAAAACGCGTAAATGAGGCAATGTTGACGTGAACATGACTGATGACAGCAAGACTAAATGTGACTCTTGTTTTCTCTTCCCAGCGAGTTTCTCCAGAGACTCCGAGGAAGATTCGAGGGATTGGAGGTCAAATAGAATCTCATCGGAGGAAGATTCCCGGCAGCGACGCAGACGCCTAGCGCTAAAACGCAGGAGAGCGTCGGAAGACGACGACTCCGACGATGACTCGGACGAATCTTCCGAGGAGGATCGACCCATCCGTAAACGAGTGAACCGCATCGACTCGGATGACGACGATGACGAGGAGCAGCAGGAGGAGAAGCCGAAGGAGAAGAAAGCAGAGGAGGAGTCAAAGGGAACAAATGCATTGGACTGCGGCCTGGTAGAGCTGCCGCCCGCCAACGGGCAAAGCCCCATAAAGAGCCTCGAGGGTATCATCAACCGGCCCGCTGCCACCATCGCTACCATCACCGCTCCAGGCATTATCCCACATCTGGAGCCGCCCAAAAGCATCAGTGCCACACCGGCTGCTGCCATAGCACCAAACGGGCTGGTGGGGCAGGACATTGCGGCACAGGACGATGACGAAGACGACCTGTTAGGAGTCACAGACCTCGTGGACTACGTCTGCAATAATGAACAATTGTAAAAACAAAAGTGGTGTACTGTTTGTTTGGGTTTTTTTCTTTTCTTTTTTTTTTTTGGTGGTATTGTATTTTTATATTGCTTAACTTTATTATTCCCTCCCATGCCAACAACTCCTCCTCCATGTCCGTTTTTCTCATGTCACCTGGAAGCCTGGACCCCACCCCCACACCTCCAGTGTGACGCTGTCCCCATGGGATCCTGCAGCCAATAAGTGCACCAACATATCATTCCTCATTTGTCTGGAAATAACCATTTGACCCACCGAAGCACCGTCGTCCCCCGGTTGTCGTCATCGTTGTCCTGTTTTCAGTTTTGGTTTTGATCACTTTTGGCTCTGAAACTGTGGGAAAAAGTTAGTGTTTGTTTGAAAGCTGAATAACTTAAAAACAAAACAAAACAAATCATTCCATAATTGGCACCAAGTTCTGGACATCTGTTTATCTTTTTATGGCTTTTTAAAGAAATGCAATCATATGTTGATTGAAACGCACTTCACCGGGCAGGGTTAGATGGGATGATAGACGCGGCCGTTTAGCTCGGCACAAACACGGCGCGATAAGCTACAAGGAAGCGGGTTTAGCTTGTTTGTCTGCTTTAATTAACCAGCTGGCACGCTGACCTTTCACAGCAGCTTTTAGCACCAGATGTTTTTTAACGTTAACAAACATGCTTCCAATGTTACAATCGACGAAAGCTGGTGCCGTCGTGGTGCGGCACTAATTTAGAGGTTTTTGTTTGTTAATACTTTTAAAACAATGTATGTTTAATTTCCTAAACATGATATTTTCAGTCAAATCCACCTGTGGGCATTTTTAAAGCTCTTTAAAGCTCACTAATTAACCCTTTATGCCCCGTTTGTTGCAGGAGGAGCTTTAGAGGAGCTACAGGTGGATTTTTGGTTTTTAGGCTTCGTGCTGAGCTAACATGAGCTGCTGCTTCATGTGAGGGATGTATTTGATAAGCTATTGGTTCTTTCTGATCATATCCGGTGTGTATTTTGTTATTAAAACACGCCCCCCCCCTTTTTTTTGTTTGGTTTTTTTAGTCAATGCTAATCAGTCAAATATACCCCCCCCCCTTTTTCATCGTATGAAGGTGTGAATGTATATATGTGACCAACCTTCGTTCGTCCTCCCCTTGAACCTAATTTTTTGTCGTTGAATGTTAGAGTAGCTTTTGTATATTGTATACATATATAATTATTTTAACTACACGCGCACTGCCATCAGCATCAGAGGTTGAACTTTCAGGTTATAGTTTGTTTGGAGAAACCAAATCAAAAGGTGAAACTCTCCTTCCCTCCTGATCCAGACTAGCCTCTTCTCATCGGTTTCATGTGATTCATGGTTTCAGTAAATCTATTTTTTTGTATATCTAAACCTTTATTTGTTGTTGTCTCTTTGAGGAAATGATGTAAAGTGTCTTATTTTCTTTGTGGGTGGAGATGCCTGCAGGTCTTTAGATTTTTAGTATCTTTAAATGGATGAAGGAGTGTTAGGGTTTACATTAAAGAATGGGGTTAAAATATCCAGAAAAAGATCACCTAGTTGAAGCAAAATAACCCCCTGGTTTGACTTTTTAAAAGCATCCTTTGAATATATATATATTTTTTAATGTAGACATAATACTCCTTCGTTATAAACAACACTCAGCTCTGAAAGCCTGTTTTCTCTCTTATTCCACTCCCCTGGATCTTCCTGTTTCCTCTGACATGAGCTGTTTCCATAATCCTGAGCTCAGGTTCGGATCAGATCAGGATCATGGAAACCAAATAGTTTAAAAGCGATGTGTCGGGTTGCAGGGGGACAGGGGGAAAAAGGCAAACCAATGACTTCACTGACCTCTGCTGGAACCAGTCTGTGTGTATATCTGTAGTTTTTGCTGTAATATATTTAGAGGCATTTTTTTAACCATGGAAAAATATATCGAGCAATTCTTTGGGATTGCATGAGTTTCTTATAGTTTTCTTTTGTAGGGAAGTAATATTGGCACAGTTTTTGTAAGAAAATCGCAAAAAAAACTCTGGCATGCTTTCAGGATCTCCTGACCTGGTGCATTTGTGCTGAGGGACTCGTGAAGTAGGCGTGTTAATTTGCAGTGAAACTGCATACGGGGTAAGCATGCGCTGACTTGCTAAAGGCGTGTTACAGAAGCTCGAGGGGGAAGAACGGGACGTCGCCGTGGAAAATAATCAAGGACTGAGAGGACGTGAAGCCTGTTTGTAAAATATTTTGTAAATTAGTCTCAGCATGGTCTTCAGAGGATAAACCACTCTATTTATCATACCGTTTTGATACTGGCCACGGCCAAAATATGACTTCCAAGACAAAAACCTATACGTGCCGCTTGCACAGCATAGGCGTCTATACACAATATTTAGCTTTTAGATTAGCTGGGCAGATTATAGAAACCCGGTTCTACAGACGTAACAGAGGTGCGTGTCCTGGTGGGTCGAGACGGAGCAAAGGAGTGTCTGTGTGCTGTGTGTAACCCTGTTTATATTCTCCACAGAGATAAGGAGAATGTATAAATGTGTATCTCATGGTTATGAAATAACCCGTAGCGAGACCTGCGTAGGGATGGAGAGAAATAAAAGCTTAATAAAGAGAAAGAGGTCGGTGCCAATGACTGAAGTGTTAACAGTTTCCTATTTACCTCATGATGAATCTGGGAGGAAAGACACCCTGTCCACTGTGTATAGATTCTCGTAGACTGGTTGGTGATGTTTTGTCTGCTCCCTACATTTTTTTTTTTTTTTGTTAACTTTACTGTTATTTCTTATGAATCCGATCTTGTACATTTGTCATAATAAAATGGGTTTTAAGCCTGATGTCGACTGTGCTCGTTTTACAAATGCAAATCATGCACAAACAGCTGACCCTTACAACGCTTAAAATACATAAATGATACATAAGAAAATAAAAACAGGCTACAAACTAGTTGTAATTGCACCCTTTGTTGTTTGAGCTGCTAACGAGACATGAACATGTACCAAAAAGCCCTTGACCTCCCTGCCTCACAAACACATAAGAATAAATAAATACTGAGCCCACCATAGAAAAACATTGAAAACTGAACTGAGGAAGAAGAAACTCCCTGAAAACATTAAATAAATACGATAAAGCACAATGTATAATAAAGCAGTCTAAACCTGGTATCTTTATTGAACCTTGTGGAAATTTTAAAAAAGTAATTAAATATAAATTTGCATATATGAGCTTTAATTTCTGTCATTCTTGCTACATCTGACATTTTATTGTTTAGCTTAAATAAACATTACTATATAAAGGGGTTAGGGTCAGCTCTTCAGGATGCCTTTTCCACAGACGTAGGTCACGGTGACAGATAAATTGTCTCACTTTGGGTTTTACCGCTGACTTTGGGGAAAATTAAAAGCCCCGACCTGGAGGTTTCTGGTCCTAAAGTGCAGACGACCAAGGTTTGTTAAATCTGTTGTGTTGACGCTTCTAATAGGCCCATAATATAAAAGCAGTTCAGATCCTTCACATGACTGTCACACTATTGACTATTTTATGACTATTGCTCATTTTATTAATTGTGTTTTTTTGTGAGGTGACCTTGGGTTTTTGAAAGGCGCCTTCAAATAAAATGTATTATTATTATTATTATTACTAATTATTTCATCTCCAGCTTAAGTCACTTTCTCTTAAACAGGAAAGGCTTCTGAATCAGCACAGATGAGCATACAGATTCTTCACAACTTCTCCCAAAATTCAGAAGTTCTTTATCAGAGAGTTTGGGAGCTCTCTGAAGATCCCCAGTATTAGACGGCACAGCTGCAAATATTTGGTGGTCTGGTCTGTGTTTATGCATTCACTTGCCGACCAAAAGATCACCGGATCAATAGCAGCCAGACACACAGATCCTCGTATCTCTTTTACATAATAAAGCATGAAAGTCCACTTAAAGCTCAGAGCCACATAAAGCTGCTCGTCACCATCGTAAACGCTGCGGAGATAAAATAATCTCTCGTGTCATGGGAGCGAGGGTCAGAGGAGTTTGTTGCGGCTGTGAACTTTAGCACCACTCTTCTAAAACGGCACACTGTGAGATAAACTGTAACCACGTCAGCAGGAGGAAGCTTGTTTACAAACCATCCAGTACGTGCCGCTCTGTCAACCAAGCAGCAGGTCTAAAGGAACGCCGTGCATTCATTTAACAGGCTGAGGGGCCAAAGGTCACATGTTTGTCATCTGTTCTGTGCTGACGATGATCCACGCTGAGGAAAAACCGAGACGCTGGTGTTGGGCATTTGTTTGGAGAGTGTGAGACGCCTGAGGAGGAGGAGGCGGAGGAGAGGACACAAAGGTCGTGTTGTGTAACCAGCACCATGTGAGCCCTGGTTGGACGGTGGGGGGATTTTATTGGATCTCTGTTTCTGTGATAATCCAAACCTCAGAGAAAGGAGATTAACAGTCACTTGGTTGTGTTTCACTGATGAAAAGACCCCAAATGACACATTTACTGTATGTATGATATATAAACTACACTACACACTCACTCTAGGCAGTTTTTGTTTGGCTAGTCTTCCTATTTATCCTCAAATTGGATCTAAATGATGACAATTCCTCATCCGAGGACCCACAAATGTCTGCATGGTAACTTCTCTGCCACCTTCCAATAAAAACACAGCATTTAACATTTTTCAGACATATTTTTAATCAAAATACTGCATTTAAATTACAACATTATAGAAAACCATTATACATTTTGTTCACAGACAAATGTTTTTATCACATTCTTATTTAAAATAATCATCCCAGTTTTACAATCAGAAACTCAAACTGTAGGAGGTTTTTAAGATCAATTGTCTTTATGCACAGAAACTTCAGATTCAGTGTTGTGCCCCAGAAATAAAATACCAAAGTCCCACCAGCACCACATACAGTATAATTCTAGCACCTGAACCTTTAAATACAGTAAACTACCAGACAGACACGTTAACCGAGCCAAACGTGAGATTAAACCAATAAAAGATCAAAGGTTTGGTCACCCAAAACCAACCATCACCATTAGCATGTCCTACAACTGAGGTCCAGTTTTCTTTAACATGCTACATGAAGTAGAAAAGCAAGACATCTGAAGGTTTAAGGCTTTGAAAACATGGTTAATAAAACCAAACATCTGCAGTCCTTTTCTCCAACAACACCCAGTTTGGCAATAAGAGTGAATTAAACCCTTTGTTTTATGGCATTTGGAGATTGCATGTGGCTGTATGTGCCTTAGATTCTTTCTGCTGCTCTCTTATTAACGAGAGATTGCCACAGCTGATCCATACACAGAATAACCTTCCAGGCACAACCTGAAATGGATTGGAGTCTTCTTCTGGTCTCGAACCGGGGATCTTTCTTCACACCCCTGAAAACATGTCCTGATATCAGTAATATCAGGCTTAAGAAAAGCTTGGAATGTGGCTCCCGCAATCCAGAACAGACCCAGGCTTTGTACTCCTAATGGCGTGCCAAACCAAAATAAATGGAAGGGTCGTGTAAGCTGGATCCATCCGCTGTGGTGACGCTCATGGGAAATAAGGGAGCAGCATAAATAATTAAAGTGCTTCCAATTAACGGCGCACAACCCAAAAAGTCATGAATCTACCAGACTGCATAGAGAAAAGATGCATTTTAGTAGTTGCACCATCACACCCACTTGTTTGGGTATAAATATATAAGCACAAATATACATTCAGCTTAATAGTAGTGCATACATTCATCGTTGTTGTGCTTATGACAATTTTCACGTTATTTTTTGGCAATTCTTTAAATATTTGTGCTTAAATCTTAAGACTATAAGATTAATGAAAATAACTATTAATAAAAATGGCTCTAACCGCGCATATCCAGGGCTGTTTTCCTGTTAAATGTAGGGTAACTAGAAAAACACACTAGTGTATTTTATGCTTTTTGGTAGCTGCAGTCGAATTATAGCTAACATTTAATTGCACATGAAGAAAGAAGAATTAAGATTTTAGGTCAA